AGAAAATTTTAAATAAATATTTAATAATATAATAAAAATATATAAAAATATAAAATATAAATTATAAAAACCTCATTATTTTAACAACAATGTGTGCAATCCAACAATGTTGATATGGAATGAAGTTAGAATCTTCTCTTACACCTGTCCATGTTATCAGTTCAGGAGTGAGTCTCATCTTATTTTACAGTATCAATTAACCACAATAATTTGCCATGGTATATAGTTATCTCTTACTAAACGCATAACGATAAACTTTGTCCATAAAATCTTGATACTATATTACTATCAAAAGATGATCAGAATCGCAGCACATAATACAATGTAAAAACAAGCAGTGTTGAGAACTCTAAAGGTAAAAAAGTGCGGCCATATCAACATTGTTGGATTGCACACGTTGTTGCTAAAATAATGAGGTTTTTATAATTTATGCGTTAGAATTTTCTGTAATTTTTAGTATGTCATTATTTTAAGGAGATGTTAATTTGAACATTGAAAATGACTTGATGTAAGGTCGAAACGTATGTATTTTGATTTGTAAATATAATGTAAATATAAATTTTGTTATTTATAACAATAGCGTACATCTTGCTTTTGCTCTAAGTCCTTTAACGGATTATTTTAAATACTTAAATTCTATTTTCGACAGGCTTGGTTCTATCTGGATTTATTCTAAAATAGAGGTAATTACTTCAAATTTAATTAACATTAATAAAAAAAAAAGAAAAAAAGAAGGAAAAAAAGAATTAAGAACAATAATATTAATATGTTGTAAATAATGATTACCTACCATCACTAAATATTACAGATTTTTGTCCTTCTGCACGATGTTTTGAACCCTCTCTTTTTAGAACGCCCACAGGTACCATCACCGCTGGTGGTGGCGGCAAACTGCCAGCTAACTGTTGCAAAGGTGGTACAGTTGAACAGTATTCCATGGGATTATTTGGATTAGGCTGTCTCTCCTATAATCATTTGTTGAATACTCATAATATCAACATTTGTTCAATTCCTCAACAAACATTTATTAAACAAACATACATAAAAAAATATGATTCCTTTTTATACTTAATATATTTACAGTTACGTTGATAAGAAAAATCTCTATCAAAGCTCTTCAAAGGATAAAAAAAAGAAAAATCGATAAATTTTAAAGATTATTTTTAATATTATGTTGATATTACAAAGATTATTTGATTATTATTTGAAATAATTATAAATATAAAAATTATAAGCGTAAATATAAATTATAATTATATTACAATAAAATAAGATTCCTTATATTAAAACAATTATCATATTACAAATGAGCCTCCCTTTAGGAATCAGCGCTGTAATAATTGCGCGTTTATTTCGATTGATCTAAAACAATCCTCTATAAATAATATATTTGTCGAACATTTCGGCTAACTTCTTAGCCATTATCAGTGAATGTATTACATAAAATGTATTACATAAAAATCTTCCTGTAATTACACTTCGACATCAAATTTCCCATAACCAATTAATAAGCTGAATGGTCAACGATATTTAATCTTAAATATAATAAATGAATTAGAGTCGAAAAATATTAAAAAACTTATAGGAATTGCTGTGGAGATTTGAGGAGTACATAAAATATAAATTGGTCCTAACACTATAGTTGTAACGCAAATTATTTTTCTCGTGAATTAAAATTTAAGACGAAACGATGATAATTAAATAAATATAATATATATATTGTATAAGTCAATGTTCATGCTGCGGTATTAATCGTCGTAATGAAAATGTATTATTTTTAGCTATAGGCTTTTAGTGATCGGTCAAATAATAAAAATATGAAAAACTAAGTATCTTTATTTAAATTAATTTCATTCTTTTGTCGCTTGATGCTTATCATTTCTAATGTTAGTCTTCTATTGTAGTTACGTTCTACGTCTAATATTTGAATGTTATTCCAATCAAAAAGTGATTGTGACATGATTCGTGACAACCGAAAGATAGGTTTTATTTTTATTGATGTCATTTTTGTGTTCGGAAATTCTTGTTTTTAATTGTCTACATGTTTGTTCAACATAAGATGCGTCACAATCACCAAGAAATTTTACAATTCTTTTTGCAATTTGCAGGAAGAGGATCTTTTTGCGCTTTTATTGAATTGAGTTTGTTAAGGTTGAAAAACGAGAGTTTAATGTCGGTACCTTTGATGATATTTCTAAATTTTTCGGAAATAGATTGTACATATGGAATTATGAATCAGCTTGGTTTTTCTTTAATGTCCTTATTTCAGGAATCATTATTCTTATTGGTGATTTGATTGAAAATTTTTTTATTTATTAAAACTTTAATTCTTTCTCATATTATATCAAAAATAAAATTTAAATTTGGATAATCGTTATCTAATAAAATTTTTACCACCTGTTCCAGATTCTTTTGATGGAAATCCGGGTGTTAAAATTAAAAAAACTCTATCAATCATCACTATAACAGTTCCTTTTTTTTTGGGAATTCCTTTTCATATCGGTTGTTGAGACTGGTAATTAAGATATCTCCCAGAGAAAGATGGTTTGTGATATATGTCAAACTTGATGACATACAAAAAGAAGAGCATAAAAGTACAGCACAAGATATTGTTTGTAATATTTAATATATCATTACATTAATAAAACATTAGACGTTTCGGCCACAATCTGGCCATCTTCAGTAAATTCACAAATATTCTTAAAACGCAGAATTACATATATCTGACATTAAATTCAGCCGTCATGTAATATAACTATGTATAAACGTGTTCTTTCATCTTGTGAAGGTGCATCGTATAACAACACTCAATATACATGAACATTCCGACCGATTTAGTATTAAAGATCGTATCGAACGTAGATGGAACAAGTTGATTGAAAACAAGACTTCGATTCCTTTCCATGAGTTTGTTAAAGCAATTATGATTATAAATGGTCCATTTTCATTTTTAAGTCGAAGTCGCTTTAGACTTGGTAGTGTCGAAGTTTCTACGATGGAGTGAAACGTGATGTTTTCCAGCATTTTTTGCAATGAACTGACATTCGACAATTAGCTGCTCTATGTGATCAACAATTATAACAACAATTATAACATAGATTGTGCTTTCTTACAAGAGAGACTCGTTATTATAGTGGTTTCGACTTATACTGCGGGCAATAATATGGCCAATGGGGCTCAGAATAAAAAGGACATGACTTTGAGCTCTCATCCTGGAATTTGCCCTGAAAATGAGATTTTACAGAACTTTGATTCGATTGTAAAAGCTTACCCGTACGAGCTTTTTCGTAATTTTGTAACGTCACTAATCGAGTGACGAAGAACTCAAGAAATTGCTTCCACGAAGGAAGCTCTTTTGATGAACCAATATGCTATTCCCATACTTTGACTGATTCAGAGTCTAACCATTGAATCACGACAAAGATCAGAAAGTCATCTCAGGAATTTACTGATCTCCCTAGCATTTCTAGTGTTCGATATATTTGCGTAAATAGTGTATAGCTTCTCAAGATCCGCTGCAGACTCTCTCTACAGACTAATGCGTTTTAAATTAAACAAAGAACTTAAAGCTGCGTTAACTAGAAGCCTTTTATTTTCATAAAAGGAGATTAAGGATTCCCAAGCTTTTGCGAAATTATCTGCAGTTAGCGTAGTAGTATTGCTTAACATGTGAACCGTAGTACCTGTCAGATTCGTTTTCAAATATTGAAGTTTTTCTACTGGAGATAATGTTGGATTATCTATAACTAACAGAATAGATCTTTAAATGGCAACTAATCTGAAGCTGTTCCGTTAAATTTAGGGAGATCTAATCTAGGAAGTCTCGCGGGATGAAAAAGTGTAGGGAGACCAGATGACGACAATGATGTGGTTGCCGTTTGCGAGGATGACGACGTCCCTGGAATGCTTCCCCGATCTGATTGTAATTCTAGCAGTTAGTTGATCCGCTCTGTAGATTCTAAATAACGTTCGTTTGTCAGAAAAATATGCATTACTGCGAATGACAATTTTATCGTTTTCATCTAATTCTCGTATCGCTAAGGTAATGGTGTCATGAACCACAAGAAATTTGTCCCAGTTCTCCTTAAGAGCAGTGAGACGTAAATTAATTCTTTAAGGAGTGACATTCTCTATTTCATACTTAATAAGATTGTCATAAGAATTAGCTATCAGATTCGAAAGATTGAGCTGCTGCTCAATATGATGCTCTATATGACTCACTCTCATTGTTCTTCCGCGAACTATGTTGCTGACAATAAAAATCCGGTTCGAAGGACCAAAATATTCGATAGCAATGTTAAAGTAGAAGTCTGTGAGTAGAAATTATAACTAACAAAAAAAAATGAGTAGAAATATGAATAGAAATTATAACTAACAAAAAAAATGAGACAGATTCTTAGAAATATAATAGAAAATGTTTATTGTTGATATTTTTTACGATTTAATTAAAACAATGAAAAGTGGAATTTTTAAAGAGAGCAGCATTCACAACGTCATTAATGAACAGACTATATTAGAAAAAAAAATTATAAGGAATCAAAACAACAAATTCGCAAAACTACAAGCGATTCTCTAGTTCAGAATATATTAGAACGGACTTCTAACCGTTTATGAAACTATTATAAAACGGACTGCTAGTCGTCTGTGCAACTTTATGTACAAATTTTATCTTAATAGAAGCTCGAAACTATTGATTAAATTAAGCTGACCATACTTATCTTTTTTGATATTCAAAACAGGTTCAAGAGATTTTGATAAGCTAGCAGCCTCGGACTATCAGTCCCTCAACCTGCTTCTAAAATTATTTTGAAAGAGATTTTCCTTCAAGTTTGATGACAATCTGCGTTTCTTGCTTTTGCTACGGATGTTTGCACACGCTTGAATGAAAGGAAAAACAATCACAATGGCCGATTCAGAGAGCGCGCCTCAGCCTCGGAGAGAAACAAAAGGAAGCGGAAGGCGCACAGCGCTTCACGCGGTCATCTTCATGATTATTTGAATCGTGATCGACACACAAGCATATAATTATCATAGAATGGCAATTTCTTCTCTCTCTCTCTCTCTCTCTCTCTCTCTCTCTCTCTCTCTCTCTCTCTCTTTCTCTCTCTCTCTCTCTCTCTCTCTCAACAATCTCTCATGAACTATTTTCTATTACATTTAGGATTCCTTATTACAAGAAACGAAATGCGACTTCGTGTGAAACATACGGAATTTCCAGATTCTATTTAAAATTAAGAAAGAAAATACATTTTCAATAATATTACTTTAACAAAACATTATTATTCGTGATAATCAGACTAGTTTTATAATAACTAGTTTTATAAACGCCTACCACAGCATTTTGTGACACAAATCCTCAGTAAATGTAATTCGGAGTAATGAAAATTAACAGATATTGGAATCACTGATAAGAATTATTACTGACAAAAATGTGATGGCACCATAGCTAGCGACAGTCTTTATATAATGTGACAGAAAAGGAAAGGAAAATTAAAGTGGAGAGGGTAATTCTATTGAAGTGTAGAGAGATTTACTTCAATGATTGGTAGATAGATTTCAGAAAAGCGTTCTGTCACTCTGTTTAAGCCCAGCTCTGTTTAAGCATTTTTTGTCTTTTGATATGTATCATTTCGGAAATCTTTTATAAAAAGATTGTTCTGAATCAAGTATTATTCCAATCAATCGTATGATCATGATCTAGTTTGTGACAAGAGATAATAGACAAAATATTCGTTGGTTGTTTGAAATCATTTATATGTTCTTTTAAACGTGTTTTCAGTTTTCTTTTTGTCTGTCCTACATACAAATAATTGCAATCGAGACAATATATTTTATATACCACATTTGAGTCATCTTCTTTTTTAATTTTATCTTTGCCTATTTTAATGAAGGTATTCATACAATTCATTGGTTTATGAGCAAAATCAAATTTTTTGTGATAGAATTAAATCTTTTAAAAGACAAC